GGACCACTATGGACACAAAGATCTTGAACACGATACTAGTTAAAGTGACCAACCGAGCGTTGCCACAAGGAGACTTCCCTCCACTATAGGATGGAATGACCATTAAAGTAGACCAGTCTGTTGGGACTACTTCCGATTCCCGTAGGTTACTCAGTACTTACGTTAGTTTAATCAGCAATTTCCTACCTAGTTCCTTAAAAACCTCTGGTGGCGAGCCATCGTCCTACTGTTTTGCATTGTTTCAAGTTCAAAACAGCCTTCTCAACTTCCGGGAGAGTCGGAGGACCAACATATACGCCCCAATTAAGTTAGAACTGAATGCTGGGCAACTGAGAGATTATCAGCCTTCCATCCTTTTCGGGGATGGTTTCACTAATCATTACCTCTTTGCGAGTATCCTCAATATGCCTAAATAATTGCTGAATATTACTTAATGCTGATCCCCTCATCACCTTACTGGCTTCCGCCACTCACCACTCCTCGCGATCATTGTGAAGACTCAGTTAATTTACATTTGAGCTGTTTTTGCTCCTCATTGTGATCAGAGCCAGCTGAAACCAGTTTTCGCACATCAATCGGTTCTGATGAGACTTTCGAAATCCATTGGCTGTTGCTAATGTTCCGATATAGGTTACCTACTGTTTTCACCGAGGTTTCTACAGCAGACTTAGTATCACGCCACGCTTCAACAGGAGGAGAATGGTTACCATATTCAGATGCACATTCAGCCACCTTCTCCCTAAATACACACGTGACATTTTTATTTTCCAATCGGAATGTCTGCTTCATACGACCAACAAGTCAAAAAAACACGTGCTCGCATCAATGCGTGACCGGACTACAAGCAAAAAAGGAGGTAATCGTTTACTGATCCACTCCAACGATGGTGTATAGCAGTACAATGATGCCATGTGAGACAGTCTCATCATGCTTGAAGTTATTGCTGGTCAGAAACAAGTTTATCACGACAAAACTGAAAGGGATTATCGCCGTTGTACTTCCGTTGCTATGGGATGCTGTAAACATCTTTAAGATGGCTTTCCGACTGCTTAGATGAGGTTAGGTTAATAACTACACTCCGGTCCTGCATGCGTGTCTCAGATACGCAGCATATATCTATGGCTCGAGATTCCACAGTTCTGGAGGACGATGTCTGCTGTCCGATTTGGCACAGGGTCCGGACGTTGATGGCTCCAATGTGAAGTCAACAGTCACGTATTAGGAAATTAGGGATGGCGTTTCGCTGGCTTGGATCATTAGCAATGGTCACAGGGGCAAAAGACTGAGGAAGTTGTAAGAGGCTTACTATTGATATTAGGTGACGCCAAAGCAGAAGGCAATTTGTTTTATTGGGTCTTGTATACTACTGGAAGCGTGCGGGCGGTTGGTATCTTCCGGTTGCCTACACCGTGAGTTTTCTCTGCAGGGTACTTGAAGGATAAAAAAACTGTGATCGCAGAGTCCATGCCCATGAGATATCTGCCTGACACCTGTCACATGGTCTATTGCGGATTATTGGTTTGAGATCTGTTTGCTCTAAGGCCAGATGGAGAAAACTCATACCGCTGGCAACGGAGGGCCACCATGTAGGGAGGAGCATGCTATTTTACAGGCCAACCTTTTTCAACCCTACGTTTCCATAGAAAAGGCAGTATCAGTATGGCATTGCTGACCATCTACATGAAATACCTTACTGCTGTCTTACTCCAATCTAGCCAACAGTACGACATCTAAGGACCCCACCATGGTGTGGGAATCTACACTATAACGGTAACTGCTTTTCGTCCTACCACTCTCCAAGGTATTTTTGTGACATGGTAGGACCTCAAGGGAAAAGGATCCCAATCAGTGTAGCTAGTAGGGTTATTGTGATATGCAAGCCCAACCACTATATCAAAGTAACGGCTTGTTACAGTGGACAATTATTTAGACTGGTTAGGGAAAATTGTGCGACGGTTAGTGATACTATGACGTAGAAGGATGGGTCTGTGATTCACTCTTAGGAGACGACTGCAAGTTTGGGAACACTCCGAAAAACAGTTCAACTGGTTTCCAGTTACTATCTCACTGCCTGCTATCCAGTCGGACCCGGAACGGAACACTTAGATAGGGTCTCCAACATTTGCCTAAGTCGAGAAAACTAAAACCTTAAACGAGGAAAGACAGCAGGACTAGATAGGTTGGTACCGGAGGTATTTAAGGACTGGTTATTCAGGTTAACTGAAGGGTCAGCTAGAGTATAGGAATCAAATGTGATTCCCTCTGACTGGTCCCAATGACTGAATATCCTAATCTTCAAAAAAGGAAAGAAAGCCTCCCGTGAAAACCTTAGGGAAACCAGTCTGCCTACGACTCTATGCCTTATAGTCATTAAACATCATAGTGAATCTCTGAGTACTTTCAGTTTGATTCTGATATTGCTTACATGGTGATCCCACAATATATGAGCAATGCTTAGAAGAAAATTATGGTTACAGGTTTTTAAAGCCTGTAACATACTTTTAACAACTGCCTTACAGTCGCGGAGCAGGACAAAGTGGACTGCTGTGCAGCGTACTCTGCAGTCGAATCCACCACCAGCACTTTAATTAGCGTAAGATGACAAACACCAAACGGGCCTTTATTATTTGAGCTGAGGTTTGATCAACAACCAGAACATTTACGCTAATGCAACTCCCTAAGTGAAGTGGTCAACGTATTCCGCCACTTCAGTGTATATCTTTAAACCTAGTCAGAGCGTAAGTCCTGGAAAATCATCATACATTTGACAAATGTGAAACACATGCCAGATATAATCAAACTGTTGCTCAAGGCACTCAGAAGACTCCTTTTGTTAGCATTTTCGGCGAATAGCGCCATGAACTTGAGTGAAGAACGAAGATATGAGCAGAACAGTATGAATTCCTTTCATTTCTAAGGTTTCTCATTAGTTGCTAACAACCCGAAACAAATTATGTGGCAAAGGAATTCAAACATGTCTTATATAATTAATTGAATTCAAAATAAGTGACGTAGTATAGCAACAGAATGCACTGGCGTATCCTTGTTCCTTATAAACTGATTTACCCTGTAGAAACATGTTTAAATCCTTTTGTTACATGTTTCAGGTAGTAAGCAGCCGACGAGGAACCAACGAGGTAAGACGGATCCATGTCATTCGGCCCAAGTGGTAACGCCTTTCTAATACAAGTTCATAAACATGACGAAGCGATTACAAAGTTGTGGAACTAAACGCCCACTTCAGGTGGATAAGTTTAGCAGGTTTAGCCGTCATTATGACTGTTCCGAAATCTGCCATGGGGTGGCCTAAACGATGCACTTCTACCCTTTCTGTTAAAATTAAATCATTAACAATTTAGATCAGTACTTAAAAATGCCTTCGATATCCTATACACTAGGTAGTGCCTCAGCCACTCATTTCCTAACACGATTCCCGCTGGTCAGTGCCGTTTCAGGTGTGAAACAGCTCTTTTAACTTTGGTGAGTTGGGTGAACGACATCTACAAACCATTCCGTCTCGGGCTGTATGTTGAACTGTTTTCGAAAGTACTCCATATAACATTTTAACCTGATCCGGGAATTCGATAAGGATAGGCTCCTCTTTAACGTTTTCATTCACTATTGTCTTCTAGGTAATCTTCTTAATGAGCCTAAGTAGCTGTCGAATATAATCTAGGATCGATGCTCCCTCTCCTGCTCACCACCCGCCACTCCTAAACATCATGAATACTATACACTGACGCGTTTTTCTCGCCCTCAACCATGATCACAGTGGAGTAGGAGTTTTTCATCAATTAATCGGAATAGTTTCAGAAATTCACTGGCTTTACCTTATGGTCTACCCCAGTGCACATGCTTCAATTGTTTTGATCTCCACGTCCATTAATTGTATTCCCGAAAAGCCGACAGCCATACACTAACACCCTTTGACGATGGCTTACGGAGTTGTTCTCGTGTCAAAGAATAGTATAGACCCAGAGTACGTAAAAGGACCAAGTGAAGAAATCGCAGGTCCCTTGAAAATATGTTTCAAATTGCAAACTACCGCCGACGTTGGAGCGCAATCGGATAGGTGATCCATCGTTTGCATGAAACTACCCACACTATTTTGTACTAAACAATACCCACAGATATTTTACGTTTGGATACCAAATGGTAGACGAATTTCCAACACAAACAGTAAACTTGCTGAATATTCGAGAATCTACATCACCACTAGTGCAAGTGAATCGTTTGAATTTTAGTCGATAATATACTGCACAACCAATTAATTTGCTCCGATACGGCTGTTAAAGGTGAACGTGAGACATTTTGATACCTTGGACGTAAGACCTAGTAGTTTATCCATTTTTAGAGGGATAAGAGATCATAGTGACGGTAGTCAGACAACCGGATGAGCACACCGCAACATAATAAAGAACAGATGATTGATTACTTCGAACAAATTGTCCTTTCAACCACCTGCTTGTGGTCAACCCTAACTTTAAAAGTAAGGGAATAAACAGGCTGACTTGAGAGCAGCTGAAACCAAACAGTGTAATGAGACCAACCTTATTTCTTAACCAAAGTGGGGAGTACTAACTGGAGACTTTTCTTCATAGGATCTCCCTAAATCCCAGCTACTCATTGTTTTCAATGAGTGTATGCAGACTGCTGAGGAGTTCTACGATCCGACTCCACAAAAATTCGCGCAGAAACCAGGGATACCATGATTACAACAGCGCTCATCCCGATAGAGAAGGAAAAATAGGAGAAGACCTAACTCCCTAGTCATGATGCGGTGTAATCATTTCCTGGGCACGCGTTGCCAATGATGAAGACGGTTTCCATACACAGTATGTGCGCTCAAACCTCTGCTCGTAAAGTTACACAAAAAAAGAGACAGGTTTCGTTGTAATGCCCATTTGACTAATTAGAAAGCGAAATCTCAGTCTTAAAACAATTAGTAGTCAAGAATTATTATAACGAATTAAATGACCAGTTATATAAACAAAACCAACCTGCCGTATCCCATATCTCGAATTTAACTGTTGTCGGTGGCTCTTTGAGGACGATCGTCTGAGTCAGATAAGCAGCTACAGGATAGAAGCCAGTACCGCGAACTTACCTCCAATTGTCGCCTCTTGATACTCACTAAATTGACACTTCACGAGCCTGAGGACTATGCTGGATTTCCCAACAGCTGATTCTCCAAGGATTACTAGTTTGTAGTGGCAACTCCTATTTGTCATCGTAAATGATTTCTATTTACTCTTATGCTTAAGGAGAAAAGTGCTAAGTTAAAAATCAACAAAAACGATATCAACAAACCGAAATGAAAGACAAAATGGGTATAGATAAAAATTAATCCCCTCAAGGAAACACTGATCCGCCAGGACACTGGTCAACACAATAAAACAAAAAGAAACTAATGTCTTCAAATATTCATGTTAGGACAACTGTGAACTAGTATTTCTTTGAATTATATCTTTATATTACTGGGATCGAACTTCGATTACGGCGTTTTCGTCCTTCTTTAGGGCTGTCAGAATTCTGAAGACTAATCCAATATCCAATATCTTTTAACGAGCTAGTGTAAACCAATTGATTTCTTCGCGCTCACTTCTAGGTCTCGCGGAATGGTTCCAGGTCTTTGGTGGGTTCCAATGCAGTAGGTCTACCCACTCGACTGCTGTAGCTGTGGTTAGCCCGACAGGCGGTTGGGTGTTGTTTAGATTTGTAGGGAGTGTTGTTTATTTGCTTGCTTTTTCTTCTGACGACTGTGGTGCAGATGGGTTCCTGAAGCGTCGTGCTAGCAGACAACTGGTCGGACTGGTTGTAAAAAGGAGATGGAAAATACGTGTAGAGAAATCAAGGGAGAGAAAGTGCAGAGAGAGACAAAATAGAAAAAGAAAAGGAAGAAGAATAATGTGTATTTTAAAAAAGGATTAGGAAAAAGGAAACGGCACGGAAGAAAAAACATTAGTGGGTTCATGGGGAATAGGTGATAGGGAGAGCTTTTGTTAAAGTTCGAGAACATAAAGTCAGAAGTAAGAAGAACAAATAACATTATAGGACGAATGGGAATATAGTAATTCTTTTAGTAGAGGACGGTAACTGGAGGAGACGTCTACAGGAAGGTATAAGGTTGAGCCAAGTTCTCAGTGATAGTGGTTTTACTAAGTGGTCAGTAACGGTTGGTCGTACCAGGTTAGTAAGTCGTGTTAGCCTAGTCCACATCCCAGTTAGATGAACGCAAACCGTGCGTCGCTGCGTAACTTTCCAACCTCTTCTTGCAGCTGTCAACAGGCGGAGCAGTAGTAATCTCGGCGGGCAATGCGTTCCAGTGGCAGCAAACTCGCAGAGAGAAGGAGTGTGACCGCACACAGGTTTTCACTCTTTGGTGAGCCATCCTCCTTGGGTTACCACGAGGACTTTTTGGTTGCAGTAGATGCTAATTCGTTTCGCTGTAGGTCATACACATTTCCATCCCTTGAGTGTTCGCACGGCCTTAGAGACGATTAGTGGTATGCATTATTACGCTTGGATTTATTCCATCTTTACGGGGATGATGTATGCTTCATTCAACTTTTTGCATTCCTAGACTAAAGTGACCACATAAATCGTCTGGTATTATATAGTGACACCTACACACAAAGGAAGCTTTACACCATATTCATCAAAACACAAACTGATAACACTGCATTTAGAATGTTGGAAAGATCAATCAAGAGAGCTTCTATGACCCTTCTTGAAAGCAGCACCTTCCTATTAAACATAAATTACGTCTTTCAGGGAGGTTTCTTTTGAGAACTAGAGAAAGCTGGGGTTAGGCCTTAGGACGGCGAAAAGCCCGTAAGTTTCGCTCCCATAAACTTGGGTAAAGAGTTTTACGAGGTGTCTACTTTTAGGTTATATATGAAACTACAAAGATTTTGAATCGTTAGTAGTCTACTCACATGGAGTAAATAGTTACCACTTGGTAAAAAGCAGACAGTAAGGATCAACTCCATAAGCTGACAGTGAAAGTTAATAGAGGGCGAAGCACATCAAAGTGGGGCTTTAGTTCTAGTGCTATATATTCCGTGTATCTGTGTAGTACCGTGCATCACAAAATCTTCCATGATTCTCTACGTCAAGCATCCAGAAACCATTAGGAGATGGGGGATCACGATAATTTGTGCGCTTTTCAGTCGGATCCCAATGGTTTAATAATCTACTTAAAGAATTGGCTGATGTCTGTAAACCCAGATATGTGAACAGCCATGCACAAAATGCACTGATGGCAACATTTATGTGACTTAAGGCATTTTTTGCAGTCAGATACGACTTCCAAGTCATGGCTCACTGTCACCCAGTAGTATTTCAGAGCCCCGGGACATTCCCAAAAGCAGTAGCAAGTTTCAGGACCACTGATAACATTTTCACCACCTTCGATTTACAGCCTTCCATAGGTTCAAGTTCGAACATTGTGTCAGTCTCCACCCGTATGGTAACTCGGGACGCCTGTGAATAATTCAAAGGTTGGCGACTGACAAAATCCCCACTGTTGTCACCAGGGGGCAACTTCATGAGTTTAGCATCTGTTTGACGTAGTTTAAAGGAAGATACTTGGTCAGATAATACAGAATCTTAAGAAACTATCTCATTCTAGCTTTCACTTCTCCCCTCCCTCTTACCACTGCAGAACATATCAAACAACATGGTAGTAGAATACGAAGGTTGAGTTTGAATGAACTGGGTGTGCATTGCTGATTTATGTGTCAAGTAATCAACTCATCTAAGCGTCTTCCAGGTGAGATGTTTTCCAGGTTGCCAGCTAAGTAATTCAACAAAGAACTGTGTTATCACAAGGATCTCTATGGGAAGGACCAAAGTAAGCTCAAAGCCCTCTAGTTACAGAGCAAAATCTGGATTCCAAAATGTGGATTTCAGATGAGTTAGATAAATACCCATTAAGATATTTCTGCGAAGCTCATTAAATAGAACCATGTTTCACTGTTGCCGCACCTAGAGTAACGCCACTTTTTGTTTACAGAGAAGCAATCTTTATGCCATTCCGAAATCCACAGCCTCGGAAACTGCGAAGCTCTGATGGGTTGCGCAGTATATTCCTGTCTTTACCGACATACTGTGGATGGATGGTTGACTATACTAATCAATATGACGACGTTTATATAAAGGTTATCAAACGATTGGAAAAAGGTAGTTATTCTTGCACCTGGGAGACGTAGCAAACAAACAAGGGCTATTTACTGGCCTAAAATGTCTACTGGCCTAGATTCTAATACGTCTTAGAAAGTAACTTAGGGTCGGATGTTGACTCACACTTTACGCTTTATTTATAGTGGTGCAACATGGTTTTCGGACCGGCCATTCTCGTTAGGCAAAACATCTTCAGGCAAGTGAGTTTAGGATTTGTCCTGGTACGAAATTGACAGACGCAAGAACCAATCACTAATTATTCGGACTTGTCATGTACCCGCGAATACGATAGAGTAGTCGGATGGAATAGTATATTTGGATGGTTGTACCAGGATACCGATGCGTTCCAACTAACCGGCTAGAGAGTCAAATATGAGCAGTGCAACGTAACACGACAGCGTGCCAAATGGTGAGGATGCTTGACCGGGTGCCTTCAGCTTAGCGAGTCCAGTTAAACTATCAAGGTCAGCATCAAAGTTGAAAGTCGTCAAACTCTAGGCTATTGATTTTGGGGGAGTGTGTGACGTTACAGATCACTCCCCCCTAGTGGGTTCGTGAGGACCCTAGGACGATACCAGCTGGAAGTAAAATCCCAGTGGTTTCTCCACTGGTAAAACTCTTCCAACGGGCTCACTGCGCGAAGTGGCCCCTGGCTGTTTGAACTTATTCTGGCGTGTCGTGGCAATTAAAAAATAAAATGCAGTAAATCGGATTGGACATCGATCGCAGTCCCCAGTTTTCCAGCGCTCGCTGCACCTGGAATATAAATGAAAGCCTTTAACACCATGAAAACGCTTCTTAAAAGTGGGAATTATGTGTACACAAATACATAGAAAAGTAAAGTAAAAGTAAAGTTTACACTCACTTTCACCGTTTTTTAAAAAAAGGTGTCATTACATGGTAATTTAAAAAATTGACGCAAAAAGCAAAATGTATGAGGATTTGCGCACCGCCGGTAAATAAGAAAAATAGCGCCTCGGAAAGAATTTTGTAAGTAAGAAAATATGGTTGGCACATCTTATTTCACGCTACTAAGTTGAGTACGGCTTTAAATACTCCGGGAACCTGACGGTTCGACCTGATCGTGTTTTCCGTTGCGCCGATGGCTGTTGTAACTGTGAATTACCAAGGACATCTTCAAGAATTTCGATAATTGGGCTATCCGTCAATCGGCTGTAGTGAGCTGAAACGTCGCTTAAAATGGTGTTGCCTTCGAAATAAGCTGGTTTCAAACGGTCGATACTGACAGTATCTTCAAGTCTGCCTCGCTCACTTATGTAGAATTTCTCGTGTCGCTTGATCACTTTGAATGGCCAGTCGTTGGGTGGTTCAAGTGGTCGACGAACGGCGTCGTGGCGAATAAACACGTGCGATGTCTTTTGTAAAATGGAGTGATCGAAGACATAAGTCGTTTGAGGTCTAACCGGAGGAGTCCTAACTGAACGCGTTGCATTTGTAAGCCCAGTCACGTACGACACCCTGTCGGAAAGACGTTTGAAAGTTGAAGGAGAAACAAACTCGCCTGGTAGGCGAACAGTGGTCCCATAAACCAGTTGTGCAGGGGTACATCCGGCATCAACTTTCAAGGCGTCACGAATACCCAGTAGGGCTAAAGGCAGAGCCTCGGTCCATTGAGGTATGTTTGCAGCTGAAAGGGAAGCTTTCGGAACCGGGTGCAACCTAAAAATGCTGTCAGAGCGTGAAGTAATCCACACTCAAATTGGCGCCCACGGTCGGTTGTGACGTAAGATGGACATCCGAAGTTCGCGATCCATCTTTCTACGAAAACATGAGCTATTGTTCCAGCAGTAGTGTTCTTAATAGGCACTGCTTCTGGTCATCATGTGAAACGATCAACACAAGTGAAAAGGTAGGTGCATCCATTAGATTCTGGTAGGGGTCCTACAATATCTACATGGACGTTGTCGAAACGCATGTCTGGGGCTAGAAAAGAGCCTAAAGGGCTTTTCATGTGTCATATGACTTTGCACTTTTGACAAGCTAAGCACGACCAAGCCCATCCCTTAACTTCCTTGTTCATCACAGG